TGACTAGTGGTATTAAATCGCACTAACCTGAGTTAAGCTATCGCAACACTTTGTTCCGTTCGAGAGAGTGATTGTAGGCTGAGCCCAGACGGCGGTGCCTGGGACGTGTTTCTTGGGATCCCGGCCGTAGCTAATATCTTCATCCGAGCCATACTTGACGGCGTTGCCGTGCGGGTCTACCGTTGGGCCGTATCCTGCTTGGGTGCTCTGGTAACAGACTCCATTGGGATGTTGCGACTTCGGGAGGGAGAGCGTGGTCGGTCCTGGAACGGAGTCTAGCTTCGGAGTCGCACGAGCCAGCCAAGCTAGACAAGAAAACAAACAGAGCCGGAGAGCAAGCATTGAAGTGTCCGTGTATTGATGTATTTCTTCAGATCGCCCTGGTGAGCAGAGGTAGTTTCGCTTTTGTAAACTTGCAGACAGGTAATATTATATGGGATTGTGGCGGCTCGGCGGACGAAAACTCGGCTTGTGGGAACGACACACTGGGCCCTTGGACTGGGGAGGATAATCTGTCAAATGGGAACCGTAGACCAGGAAGAACTGATCAGGAGCCTTGACGGCGCGAAAAAGGTATGTATCCCGATTCCCGGGTTGCCCTCCATCCGTACACCTTGTGCCAAGGTGCGCCACAAGCGCTGTATGGACCAAAGTGTCGTATGGCAGCGAGCACCGAGTCATGATGTTCTGCTCTGTTCTGCTCCGGCCATCAGGGGCACAGGCTGTATGTAGCACAACACGTTCTTTATGGGACCGCCTGCAACATCCCTCAACAGCGCCATCCGTTTTTAAAAGACACAAGACTCATACATATTGTTTATCGGACTCTTTAAATCCCGGAGGAGGGACTTGTGCCAACAGCCGGCCGACGGAGGTACATATAATAACATAGGATGCAAAATGCAGCTGGTTTCGGAGTTCAACCCTCATTCACCCAGCACCAATTCGCATTGCGTTTTCCTCTTCCTTCATAAAACAGTTCTCAAACATCCACTCTAACTACCCTTCCAAGTACCATCCTCCTTGAATACCATTACCATGAACCTCACCAAATCAGCACTTCTAGTTTTCTTGGCTTGTGTATGCCAGTTCGCGATTGCAAAGTGTGACAAGGGTCAAGTGAATGCTTGCGCGACTTCCAGTGGCGACCTTTGTGAGTCTTTAATTCTTTTTTGGCCCAACCCATGGATGCAACAGTTCATGACCGGGCCAAAAATTTGTTTGACCTATTGATATGGGTTTGCAAGACCTGCCAAAGGAAAATGATCCAGGTTGTCGAATCACTGTGTCCGAAAAGCACTACTGCTGTCCCTCGAACATTGTGAGTGAGACTCCGGTCAAAACTAACTCGTTTTTCTGATTGCACAAGCTCAGGGGTTCACCTCAATATCTGTCGACTTCAGCCCAAGAACCCTACTCCACGACTGGGCTTCGCGATCAGGCTCTACGGCTGTAGAGCCAACAACTATTAGCGGCCAGGTTCATCTTTCAAAACAAATGTTGTACGTTCATGTTTGATTTCCAATGTGCACATATTTGGATCCCTGACTCTGGACTACGATCCGATCCTTTAAACATCGCTTGAATACAACGGCCTGAACGGCTTGCTCTTATCTGCTATCAGTCCGATTCGAAATATCTCTATTGTTTCTCCTACATTATGTTTTCCGATCAAACTTGCTTTCTTCATGCCTTCACAAAGACAGTAAATCATTTGGTTGTTGTTGCACAACTTCATTCCAACCTACACTTGGTGTTCTTCACAATTTTGGGGTACATACATGAGATTTCCTTTGCAAATTCTGATGGTAGGTCTGTATACGCCCACAAGAGAGTCAAGCAACAGTGGGACAAATGCAGACAAGAACCAGACATAATTGTGCCAGCTGGCTTGCCCTATCACTATCAACTTGCCAGACAGTTTTGCTTTCCAATGATGTCTTTTCAAGTCAACAGACTCTGCACAAAGTATTTTTCTTTCTTCCCTATGAGCAACACTGGGAGGTTACGTTTTCAGTAACGAAAAATAACGAAACGTAACAGAATTGTGGCCGTTAGCGTTACAATAACCGCAAAAGCCTTTCCGTTACGTTTTCTTTTTCCTTTTTTCAGCTTTTTTTATTGTTTTTACGCTATCCACCACAATTAAGTGTGGATAACAAACACATAACGAGGGGCTTTACCCTCACACAACGTGGATAACGTGCTGTTTGCGTTGTTTTCTTCCGTAACAAGGGGTAAAATCCCTCTCGTTACGTTACTCACCGGTCAAAAAAGATCGCATTCTGGATAACGCTAATGTTGTTATCCAATTCGCTGGGAAGTTACGTTACAAAAATCCCTCCGGATATCGTAACGTATGTAACTTCCCAGTGTTGCTATGAGTTGACGTCAAGCTCAGCTTCAATATGAGATTCTCGCATCCAACACGTTTGGAGCTTCTGGAATGACCAGGCTGTGTCCAACCATGAATGGCACAAAATACATAAATAGGTGCAACCATGAGTGGCTTTGGAAATTTTATGAATTTTGTGTAGGTAAAATCCAAATGTTTGTTTATTATAGAGGCTTGGTTAAACAACTCCCAAAAAGTGGAGAGCCGACTCCCAAGCCCCGGAGTCCCCGAATTTTGGGAGTCAAACTCCCAAAACCTTTGAGTGGTTTGGGAGTCAACTCTCTAAAAATAATACAATTCCCCGGTTTGTTTAGGAGTCAATCCTCCAAAACTAACCAGGGTTTGGGGGTTGATGAAACAAAAGACCCCCACAGAAGCGGCCGGGAGGATTCCTCCTGGCCGCTCAGATTTTACACTGATGGCTGAGAGGAATCCTCTTGGCTGTCAAGATTCTTCTCTCAGCGGCTGAGGTGATTTCCCTTGGCCGTTGT